TTTGTGGTACTTCGTAGGAAATGTATACGTATATCTTGTATAAAATACTTATTGTTTAAGGTAAAATCTTTTTTAACATAAATAAAAATTCACTTCATTTAAAAAACAAGCTAAAAGGGTAAGAAATCTATGTACTAATTCTTTAAGTAATACCTACAGTACCTACTTATATTTAAAGTAACTACATAGTCAAATAATTAACAAAATAATAGGTATGGTGTCAATGACATGCATTCCAATCAAAAATTCGAATCCAAATGTTATTTTGACTTAAAATGTAGGTACTTTAGACTTTAATGTATTATTTGTTCCATCCTTTGTTTTTATAAAGCAGTTTTTAATATTTTTTAGAACTGTTTTTATTTCCCCCTTTTTATAAGCTAATCATATTTCTTAAAATAACCAAACACGAAATAAGTTCGAACTGTTTGCAATTGAAAAGTTTGTTTTTATATATCCGAAAATACTTGGCATCTTCACCAAATGAATAATTGGGATTTGGAACGATCTCGCCAAAAACTGATAGAAACAAAAAAAGATAAAAATAGGTTACACATCTCGGATTATACAATAAATGAGAACAAAATCTTCACAAAACAGCCGAGGGGGTAATTAATACCTCTTACCGAAACCGAAATTAATAACCTAGGTATTAGATAGATGCGCTGGATTGAGAATTTACGATGCAAGAAATTTTCAAGGATGATTCACGTTAGACCTTGTCGGTCGTAGCAGAGTTAACTAATCATCATCATCAGCCTATTAATGTCCTCATTGCTGGGGCACAGGCCTTCCCTTTGGATGTAATAGGGAGATTGGGCCATGACCCACCACACGGGCCCAGTGCGGGTTGGCAGGTGCTAACGACTCCAGATGCAGCCGGAGGAACTCGAGATAGAAGATTTTTGGTCACCCATCCAATGACCGACCACTGCGAAAGTTGCTTAACTTCAACGATCGCAGCCGAACGCGCTAACCACCTGCGCCATCGAGCTCCTCTAGTTAACTAATATTAAATAATATATTTTACATGGTTATGGACACATTCACGCTATTCCAGGCGGTAGCCGACTGACAACCGAGCAGCAAAAAACCGAGAAACAACGCTCGGGAAAAACTTGGTCCCGCCTCGGCTCGGCCACGGCCCGTTGCATGAATACAGCGCCGGCGCCGGCGCGGTGCCGCGCCGGGCAATCGTAGTGACACCTACCTCAGACAAAACAAAAAACGTTTTTGTTCGGACAAGTACACTTACCCTATTTACTTTATCTGAATGAATAAACTGCAGCACAGCACAACGGTACCTACCTAATTGGTCGGTCAACGCAAGTCTTTGTAAATTACAGGTACGGTATCGGCTCCGTGACCGTGCTACAGCTGAAGCTAGACTCGGACTTGACACGGTCTATCGTCACTGATCATCCTTAATAGATGTGTTCGGTACCAAAATCTAGTTGGTACCTATATTTATATTTAATTTTAAAAGTGGTGGCTTTCCCTATCCTTTTACAAAAAAAAATACTTAGGGTTGCTCTAAGAAAAAATATGATTCCTAAAGTTCTCCCTGCAGATTTAATTTCTCCAAGTTCATATTTTTCCCCAAAATAAGGATAAACACTCCTAATCTAGAAACCCTAAGTACCACAGAGTAGGCAAGTATTCACTCTTTAATTAAGTTCCTTGATCTTTAATATTGATTCATAATTTTTCATACAGTATCATAATAAATTTATGTTAAGTTTCCATATTTGAAAGATGATAAAGAACAACAAAGAATTACTGAAATAAGTAAAAATCACTGAATAATAAGTATTTATTGCTAATTTGAGTAAACCGATAATTAACGGTTCAATGCTTTTACATAATCTGTGAATTCAATTTAGACGTTTACAGCTGTCAACTGCGTTCTATTTCAGAATACCAATTCTCTAAAACTAAACTAAAATTAGCTCCCTAATTTTAAGTTTAGGTTTACAGAATGTAACCAGAATCGGTCCCAATATTAACAAAGGAGTGAGTAAGACGACACGTGCGAAGATATTGATCCAGGAGCTCTATTTTTGAATCACTCGCCTGACATAGTATGTGATATGTGACATAAGTCACCTTCGACTTTATAGTAGCATGAAATTCCGTATTATTGAATCGTTCGTTTACCAGTTTAATACGATTTACATTTTTTTATTTATTTCACGGTAATTACCGCAATGAAAACGAAACGAAAAATTCTTAGTACATGGCTGTATAATACAATTGTATTTTGCCGTTTTTTATGATGCCACTTCACAGCTATTCGTGAAATTGCTGTTTGTAAACTTGTCATGCATTAGCCGTCATGCCACAATAAAAGAAGAACAAACTTGACATCAGTCTGCCCTTTTCGTTTCATATAAAGCATGACAAGGATAGATTATCGTAAAAGAAAGTAATCGTAAGCGCGGGATACTTGATCAGAGGTCGGAGTTAAGAGTGCAAGGGTAGTCTCAAGAAAAGGTCATAATTTTAAAAAATAGTAAACAACGGAATAAAACGAAAAACTGCAAATGTGAATCAAGTTTGACACGTGACATCTGGCGCAAATATGACAATTATCCTATCATTCGCCTCCACCATTCGAGCGTTCGACGCAAGGTGAGTGATTCAAAAATAGAGCTCCAGTAATGAATGCTGTTGCAAAAATACATACTATGAGGTAAATATTGTATTTTTAATAAATATTTTGCATGTTGGGGGGATTTTTCTTCAATTACCTGTATTTTGGGGGGATTTCGGGTAAGTTTTGGGGGGCAGGCGAAAAGTCTTTCTGGTAACACAGTTGAAAACACGCCCTTTAGGTTAAAACGGGAACTTTCTTGTTTGAGGGGTGATAAAGGACTATCGCACTATATAAGTCTCTTTATCGTGCCGGGACTTCTTTTTAAGTTTTATCGGCACGCACATTTAATCAACTTAGTTTTATTATATATAATAATAATGATTTTCGACCTTTAATAACGCGCCTATGGGGGGCCTTATTGGTCATAATTAAAACGTCATGGTAAAAAGTTTCACTCAGGGCGTATTTTTTTAAACATTCATGACCATGGAAACAAGTCTTTCAGACGTATACATAAAAACCTAAAAAATCAATCTTGTCTTTATTATTGAACTGACATCTTGGCTAATATGCAAGAATCGAGAGCCATTTCAGAATAGTCTAGCTAGTTTCCTACCATGACAAAAAAGAACAAAGCGGAGTTTTGGTGAGAAGAATTAACTAGAGACGGGCAGACTATAGTATCTGCTGCCGACAAACCGGAAAGCCGACAAATCGGTTTTCAAATTGCTGACTATTCGGTGGACTAGTCACCACTCTTAGGGTACGGCCACAGTGCACAAAGGTTCACAATCAGAAAACAGGCTCGTGAGCAGTGTTGCCAGGTTCGATTTTTAAAAATCGGGAGGCGTTATAGAAAAAAACAGTAGATGTATGGAAAGACCTACAAGAAAAACAGTAGATGCAGAGGCGTACTTCTTCCGATTTCCCCCCCCCCCCCCCCCCCCCCCTAGAATTGGTAAATCAAATGAAGATAAAGTTAAGACCAGTAATGACTGTGTTTCTGTGGCTTCTGCTTCTTTTAAAATTAAAAAAGTTATCTACATTGTTTATGGCCGAAAATGTAACTCAACATGCAATTTAAAAAAGAAAATGGTATTTTAAGAAAAACAGGAGATTCATGTACTAAAACAGTAGAACAGGAGAAATTTCAGAAATACAGGAGATCTCCTGTAAAATCTGGAGACCTGGCAACACTGCTCGTGAGATGTCAGCTTAGGCCGCAGTGGAGGCAGATAATACAAGACGCGGACGCGAGCATTGATGCCAGATTGGGGGGATTCCTCCCAAATTTGGGGAATTTTTAAAGCGATGTGAGGAAAATATTTTTGGGGGGATTAAAAGGGGGGAAAATATTTCAGACATCTGTTTTGTAATAATTGATTATTTAAATGTATATAAATATAAGATGGAGTTTATTACAACAATAAAGAAAGTTCTCACTGTTGAAAAGTTCTTTTTTTGGATTATATTGAATATTTTATAAGAGTATAAAACAAAACCAATCGTAACAATTTAAAGCTATTTTTTTTAAACGGGAATCATTTCATGGAATGATTGGGTATCTTTAAAAGATCTGTAGGTATGTGTTGCCTGTTGTTTAATTTATGTTTACATTTTATGCTATACTTTCTGTAACAATAATTCCGACGCAATACGTGTTTCAGAATAGACTCCAATAAAAAAGTATTTCTTTACCTTCAATACCCATTTCTCGAGCGATGTTTTGCCAGCACCTATTAACGAAATTCCTGATTGAATGGTTTTTGTCTATTTTATCCCATTCAGCTTAAGAAAAACTTTCGCGGTGAGTGTTTCTATAATCATTATGTTAATTCTAAAATATAAATCAAAAAACAAGAGTATATCGCAAACAAGAAGCAAAGCACTAAATGTTTGTTTAGAACACAACCACGAAAAAGGTTACTGAAACAACTATAACCTGCAGTTAGGGTTACCAACTTCAGCAATTTAGGTAAGCAATTTTCGAAGCATTACTTCTAACAATATAACTAGCAAAAAAATTGAAAAAATATAGTTAAATATTTCCTTTATATTTGCTGCTCTTTGCCATATTAATATTATAATTACAATTTCTAATATTTTATAAGAAAGCTTTTACTGTCTAAAATATGCTTTTAGCGAAATATAATACTTTCGCCTACTATATATATTTTATAGAAATTTGTTTCGAAGTCAGACTATACCGGAATGTTTATTGTTTAGGTCATTCTTGTTTCAGATTCTGAATTCATCAGCGCCACTCAACCAAGTTCAGTCAATCAGATTCAGACTCAGAAAACAAGCGCGAGAAATAAACAGAGTAGTCTAATGTCATTAATATTTAGGTAGTCTGTGGTCAATAACATAACATGTGTTTTTCAAAGTTTTCCTTACAGTTTTTATAAAAATAAAAAATCTATCATATTCAAAATGACACTGTTAAAATTAAAAGCTGCTCGAATCGTAGTACTTGAAGACTATGAAAATACAAACCATTTACCTTTAATCCAAGAGTTAATACCTCAAGATAAAACTGTATTGCATATGTTTTGTTATGAGCAGCCTATATCTCTTTGGAAAAATGTGTTTAAACATAATTCACGCGTAATTTATCATCAAGAACTAAATGTGAATGATCTAGACAAGTATACAAGTGAAACCTGTTCAATTTTAATCGATTCAGTGAACCAAATATCACTTAGCAATGGATGGACTAATTATTTAAAAGTGATTAAACATCTGAAAGCTAGTTCTAATGTTATTAAACTTATATTCATATTGCATGTAGACTGCCTATCTTCTGTCTCTAAACTAAGAATAAATTTAAATCACATAGCGAATGCAGTTATCACTTATAATTCCACAACTTCATGTCAAGTGCACATTTTAATGAAAAAGAGTGGTAAAGTTGTGAAATGTGATGAAATGTTAACATATGATACTAAAACTAGCACTCTAAAACTCATGCCAATTGTTAAAGATAAAGGTGATGAAAGTGAACCGGTTAAACCTGAACCAGAAAAATTAACAACATTTAAAATTGAAGTTGATCAGACAGACAAACTTGAGAAATATAAACTTAAACTCCCATATATGAGCAAGATAAATCAGGGAGAAAGTAAGATCTACTATGAGCCAGACGCTGTGGATGACTGGGATGAAGAAGACCCTGACGAAGATCTAGACCTATAGTTAAATAAACATATTTTTGTTTCTTGTTGTATTTTATTATTAAAAGGGTCCTTTTATATATTTTTAACTACAATTTAAATTTTTGGTGTATCATAAACATTGCCCAAGTTATGTTTAGATTGATCGTCCATGGTTGAAACAAAAATATAATTATGTTTCATACACTGTTTTTTTTATCCTTTATGTACACTTAAAGGTTTTATGGCCAAAGGTACAGCAGTTAAAATAAACAAATGCAATGATGAAAAGAAGAAGAAAAAGTCAATTAACACCTGTCTTTAGTTGAATAGAGATTTCCTCTTAACAAGACTTCTACAAAGTATAACAAACTTATTAATGAACATGGATGAAATCTAGTAAATTGTTCCTAAGCTTCGATCAACAATCCTATAGATAATATAGAAATAAATAAATTAGGGTTGCATACAAAATCAAAGCTAAAAACTGTGTGTGTTTAAACTCTGCAGCTGCATTGGATTCCCAATAAACAAAGATAAATGTTTTAAAACAGTTTAAGTTGAACCTAATTACAACTATCTCACAAAGGAATAAGGTTACAAACATAGATGAATGATTGGTCTTGCTTCACTCGACGAAGCAAGACCAATTATTTATCTATGGTTACAAATAATAAAAAGTTGCTTCCTGCTGTCTGTCCCTATGTATGCTTAGATTTTTAAAACTACGCAACGGATTTTTATGCGTTTTTTTTTAATAAATAGAGATTCAAGAGGAAGGTTTATATGTATAATACATGCATAATATAGTAGAGAACCACTGATAATTTTAGAGGTTTTCAATGTAAGGTCGTAAATAAACACTTGATTGCGCTTACATTGCAAACGCTGGCTGAACCCTATGAGATAGATCAAAACAATGTACTACAGTATTGTACACCTTAAAAAGATCTACAAAAAAGTCTGCAATGGTATATGTCTATTTCTTAGGGATAACCCACAATAACCATTTTTTATTACGAAGCGATTTTCAGCAATATAACATTCATCCTTAAGTAATTAAGTGCCTTAAATACATTGTGTATTTAACACAGATCAATTTGGCCCTTTAAGGCATGTAATTTAAATGAATATTTTTGAAGATATTACAGATTTTAATATAGGGATATAGCGGTTCCGACGCTACCGGGCAGGGGTCCTGGGATAATACAAGTCTGAGAACAAAAACTACAGTCTACACCGAAGCGAAGCGAGGGCGGGCCACTAGTTTTATAATATACTAGTGGCCCGCCCTCGCTTCGCTTCGGTGTAGAGCTGAAGTGTAGACTATAGTTATTGTTCTCAGGCCTGTATTATACTTTTTTTTTTTTTTTGTTTCCTCCCAGGCGGGGGAGAGGGTGAGAAATCCTCATGGATACCCTACAGCCGGCTGTAAGGTTATGTCAGACTCTTACTGACTAAAAAACACCCTTAATTCATGCTTATGGCCAGAAGGGCCTTACAAGCTTCATCTGAAGCGATCACCCCCCGAGAGGGGGATGATGCGGCTGTATTATACACAATGGCATTCTTCTTATACCTACCGCCGCCGCCGCCGCGACCCGTGTCGAGCGCGGCAACCGTTACACAAAAATAATCCTTATAGCATGATTCAGTATTCACGTGCGACGGCGCGATGACTTATTTCATGTAAAAGTTTAGTGTTTCTATACTGATTTCTATGATTCTTTTTTTATTGAATAGGTTATAATGTTAACTTTTTTAAATTAGGGATGAGTGAGAGTATTATAAACGTAAGAGTAAGCAAATATAATCAGAATGCTCCGAACTGCTAAGCTATCAGGAGTTACACGTGTTATTGTGAGTCAACCATAAAAGATAGACATATGCTGTTGCGGAATATTTTTTAGACAATTTTATGTAGAATATTTCCGTCATACATGATTTCTATGTAACTTTAACCATTAAGGCTGCACACGCAACGGAAGCTAAAAAAATGGAGTAACTTCTCCCGTTTTCCCAACATTTCCCTTCACTACTCTGCTCCTATTGACTGTAGCGTGATGAAAAGTATACTATAACCTGCCCAGGAGTATGAAGAATAATTGTACCAAGTTTCGTTAAAATCCGTCGAGTAGTTTTTGTTTCTATAAGGAACATACACACAGACAGACAGACAAAAATTTTACTGATTGCATTTTTGGCATCAGTATCGATCACTAATCACCCCCTGATAGTTATTTTGAAAATATATTTCATGTACAGAATTGACCTCTCTACAGATTTATTATAAGTATACTTAGATTTCGAAAAAGGTATTCATTTAAAGCAGTAGTAAAAAAATTCTTGGACAACCATAAATCAGAAGATTATGAAGAAATTGTTTCCAATTTGTTGAAGAATGACCATAAGATGTTATTCAATCCCATAGTCTTAATAAAGTAATAATTTTTTCAGACTCGAAAAGTTGTCTCCAAGCCATAATGAGTAATCAGTTCAGCTCTAAATCAAAATTTCAATTTATACTGACCATTAAAACTATTTTATTTGAATGTCATCGGCAAGGTTTACAAATTATTTTGGCATGGATCCCTGGGCATACTGGTATAGTGGGAAATGAGACTGTTGATTCCTTTGCCAAACAAGCTACACTTAGCGGATCTCTCAATCACTGTGGCACTTACCCTAATGACCTAGCTTCTTTAGCTAAAAAGCAGTTGCTTACAGAGTGGTCAAAATTTTGGAAGGAATCAAGTAAATCAAAAGGCAAGTTCTATGCGAATATTCAGCCAGATATCCCTCATTCTCCATGGTTTACCAAAATGCGAAATGCCAAAAAAAGTGTTGTTTCCACATTATGCAGACTAAGACTTGGTCACGTATGTACTCCCGTTTTCCTGGCCAAGATTAGGGTGAGGGACAGTTCCTTGTGCGAGTGTGGTATCGACGAGGGTACCCCAGATCATATCTTTTTTAATTGCTCCAAAAATAGCCATTCCCTCTATTCATTGCTTCCGTCACATGTCCATCTTCCTACAGATTTTTCAACTATATTATCTTTAGTTTATTCAGATTTTGTGAATATTCTGTGTATGTATATTGATTCTAACAATATTAAATTGTAGATATAGTTTCACTGGTACTCATATCTCAGCTTTATTACTTATTGTTTCAGGCAGCTCAACATATTATACCTTAACCTTTCCTTTCTGTTTTTCCCTATTCTTTTCCCAAATTCTAGGTCCTTGTACTTGCACAAAGCCCTTCCACACCATAAGCAGAGTTTTAGACAATAAACAAGCCCTCACCGAACAAACATAGACAAGAAATTTTGGACACAAACACCAGATATTGGCCAAATCCTGAGGGAGCCATCACTGAAGAAATCTATCTACCATAAGATGGGGGTGAATATGTCATTAAAAATTTATTTTTTATATTTTTTCCTAAGAATCTAGGAAGCGTAAGCGATGAACATGGTGAACGTTTTCATCAAGATTTGAAGCTTTATGAAGAGAGGTACCAAGATTTTTAGGATAAAGATGTTTTAGTTGATTACTGCTGGTCTGTATTAAGAGAAACTGATGCTAATCAGTATAAAAGAAGAAGTTATCTGTGTCATTTTTGATATTTTTGTAGGTCACAAAAAATTGTGAAAAGCAAATATAGTAAATATTTAAAAATTTGACGTACTTTTTTACACTTCTGTATCCAACATAGGGTTTATTTCTTTACTGAATCACATTAATTTCATATATGGGTAAAAAACCTTGTAAAGTAGTGAAATTTTGTATTAACGAACTAATTTAAAATAAGATCTCACACCTCAAGTGAATCTAACCCATAGTCCGAGAGCCGGCTGTGTATAAAAGTCCTATTGATCAGATAGGTACATGAATCATTTTTGGGGTATGATATGAAGAATAAAGCCATAGGTCTAGAGGTCGACACCCCTGAAGTTGCTTGATTTTGCCCGCATGAAAAATGATGTCGTCACTTCCGGTTTTTACACACATCAAAAGTGTCTAGGTCTCAAGCATTTTTATGCGGATTTCTTGAGATTGAGATGTGGCTTTGTAATAAATTTATGATTTTATAAATTTATATGGATCCTTTTTGGTGCATTTCATAATTTGAATCAGGAACTGTGAATCAAATTCGAGTAAAAGATGAAAATCAGCTGTCAATATTTTCCCTATAAAAACATACAACGCATTGAAGACATTATTAGTGCTACTGTTTCCCTACTACTGATTAAAACCAACGTTATTATGGAGCGGCGACGTCATTTAAGCAGGGAAGAAATGCTCAGAGCCGTGGGAATGATAGAAGCTGGTTCCCGGCAACGTACTGTGGCTTTAGCTCTGAATACAAGTCAGAGTGTTATCAGTCGACTTTGGACACGATACCGAAGCACTGGTACCGTGGCTGAGCGCCATGGAGGACGGTATCGCTGCACCACACGGAGACAAGACCGATACATTCAAATCTTAACTCGAAGAGCTCCAACAATAACCGCCATGATGTTAGCCGTGAGGCTTCATCACTCTTCAGGGAACTTAATTAGCGACCAAACAGTCAGAAACCGCTTGCATGAAGTGAACCTTCATTCCCGAAGACCGCTACGGGTACCACCTATAGCAATGCACAATCGTAGGATTCGATATCAATGGGCTCTTGAACACAGAAATTGGGCAGAAGAACAATGGCGTTTCGTGTGCTTTTCTGATGAGTCTCGTTTTGGTATGAGACCGGATACAAGACGTATACGACACTGGAGAACCCCTGGACGCCAACAGCGATTAAAATCCTGCCAGGAAGTCCATCCTTATAGTGGTGGAACCATCATGGTATGGGCGGGTATTTGGATCGGCGGAAGAACTGAGTTGATTTGGATCAGAGGCAACCTCAACGCTCAAATTTATGCTGAGACGATTGTATCAGACGTCATCGTTCCTCTACAAGTGCAAATCGGTCCCTTATTTCAGTTAATGCATGATAATGCACGACCGCACACCGCAAGAGTTGTAAGACAGACTCTCGCCGCAGCTAACATCAATGTCCTGCCC